GGACCCCCAGCAAAAATGCACCGATGAGAGTGACCACATTTTTAGAAGCATTTTCTCCCCGAATGAAATGATCAAGGCGAAAAAGGTGTTTTTTTTTTTAATAAAATAATATATAAACACAGAAGAAAAATTGCCTATCCGTCAGCGGCAAAGGAAATTGCCGGTAGCACGTGAAAAGGAAGTGGAAACCATGATTGAAGGAATGGTGAAAAATAGTGTTGTTGAACCTTCACCTAGTTCATGGTGTTCACCTGTGATGCTGGTAAAGAAGAAAGACGGCAGCATGCGGTTTTGTGTTGACTACCGCCGTCTGAACGACGGTACGAAGAAGGACAGCTATCCATTGCCAAGAATTGATGACACGCTGGACGTATTTACATGATTAAAGTGGTTTAGTACGCTGGACCTTAAAAGTGGCTAATTGCAAGTTGAAATTGACCCTAAGGACAAGGAGAAAACTGCATTCTCGACAGAAAAGGGTGGCAATTTAAAGTTATGCCTTTTGGATTGTTTGAATGGTTGATGGAACTTGTACTTACCAGGCTAATTGGCGATGCCTATCTGGTCTAATTGGATTACGTCATCATCGTAGGCCGTACGTTTGAAGAACATCTTTAAAACCTGGAATGCGTGCTCATGAAGATTCCGAGTGCCAACCTCAAGTTGAATCCGAAAAAATGTTCACTATTCAACTGGCAAATTAGCTTTTTGGGGTATGTAGTGTCGGAAGAAGGTATCCGCACGAATCCCAAACCCACAAACCCCAAAACATGAACCCCAAGCTCGTAACAATATGTTTGTAGCACGCATGGGTCTGCTCCACTGCGGGACAACCACGCTCTTACCGAATACCAGCGTAAAATAGCATCTTAATGGTGTTGTGTTTCGTATGGCCAGTGTAGAGAACCGGAAGCCCTTTTATTAAAAACGAGGCGTTCTATCTTAGTCCTCAGGAGTGCCAACGTACATTTTGATTTAAGAATAGATTAAGATCTAGGGTAAATGTAGATGTCTAGGGCCACACCCTTATTCTATAAAAATGTGGGTAACAGGTAGTAATGTTTAAACAACGAACGCGCAATTTAATTGCAGTAGATAAATACCTAGGTAAGTATATATGTATCTTTTCTAGCTAAACACATTGTACTAAAACAATAAACGTGGATATAATGTGCGTTGTTACGCAATGACAATTTTCCAAAAACTAAATACCTACCTATACATACGTATATCTTAACTACACCTATACTACTCAACAAATTCATCGTAAATTCACAGATTTAAAATTGCTAATAAAATGGCAAAATGGCCCTAACACAACCGACTCTACGCACGCACGTATTTTATGTACCTATATATAATATATAATTATCACTTTCACTGTCTTCTTCTTCTTCTTCCTCTTACATTACATACGACGTTATCATAATAATAATTTATCCTATCCACTGGTGTGTACCTCCTAGTAGGTACATACATTAATTAAACTTTTAGTTTTATTCGTGCATTCGTTTCGCCCTCGCCCGACTGCCCGACTCTCCTCAATACAACCCCCCCCCCCCCCACACACACCCTACCCCTGTCTTATGTTTGTCTCGTATTGCGACCCCCACATAGCGGCGAATCGATGCTCACTATACGAGTATATATAACCGGATTGCTGATTTCGTAGTCCGTTCTGTCTGTATAGAGACTATATCGGTGTGTTGTGTCAATTTGATATTCAATTAAATAACTACAATGTCTGGACGTGGTAAAGGCGGTAAAGTGAACGCACGGTATTATAAAAATAGCATAAAAATATGTTAACCGTTAACCGTAAAACCGTTAACCATGTAGTGGCGGTGTAAAAATATCCACTATTCCATAATGTTCTGTGGGCGTCGTCAGAGGCGACAGAGGAGAAATGAGACAGGAGATGGACAACAGTATACATAACCAGTCAAGATTACGAAAAGCTGCGGTTGCGGTTCATCCACCTGATGATAATTGTGGCCCATAGACATCTACATATATTCTCGATTACGAATCAAAATGCAGATGCGTTGTCACCCGTAAGGACTAAGATGGGATGCCTCGTTCCAGTAAAAAAGGTCTCCGGTTCTCTACACTCACCATACGAAACACAGCAGCATTCAGCTACTATTTACGCTAGTATTCTGTGAGAGCGTGGTCCTTCCCCAGTCGAGCTGACCCAATCGTGCTACAACTATACTACTAATATAATTGCAGCATGGCTCTACCACGTAAAAATTTCTTAAATAGTTTTAATTTTTATCTGTCGCTACTTTCAAGGTAACATTTTATGTTTATTTATCTATGTTCTTGTTTTTTAAACAAGCAACACATGTACCTACTTATTTTCGAATATTTTTTTTCCGGTTTTATGATATAAATATAATTAATAAAATCTATACATATAAATAAAATTGAAGTGTCCGTCCGTAACATTCATAGATTTAGTATAAACTGACGTTGGAAGTAATATTAAAATGACCAGCTTGTATGAAACTTGGGATGGTTATTTGCATTAAGATATAAATAAGCATTTTCATTGCATTTCTGCCAATTATCTGCCTGTTTGTCCGGACTAATCATCATGTTGGCTGAACTGCTTGTTATAAAACTTTGAACCAACAGATTGAGAGCAGCGCCAAGAGGGATTTAGACACAAACCTTAAAAAAAGGATGGCTGATAAATGGAAATCGTCTTTGATTATTTTCAACCTAAATAACGCCACATTAATAGATCCTATTCAGGCGAAGTCAGGGGGGTTGCTAACGCTAGTAATAAATATGTAACTTGTTATCTTTGTTATTGTGATCTTTCAAGGTTTCCGATGTTCGCTCATTAGATCGCTAATGTATTTACCATACATTATATATTTTTATGTATCCCTAGTGTATATATACAAATACGTATATATATATATATATATATATATATATATATATATATATATATATATATATATATAGGTCTAGTGGTTGTATTGGCGCGGCTACTGATCATGAGGTCTTGGGTTCGAATCCCGGGTCGGGCGAAAAAATTAATTACTGAGTTTTTCCGTTAAGAAATTCTCAATAGCTGCCCGGAGACAGGAAGTTGGCGGTGTATCACCCCCGTGCTTCGGAAGGCACGTAAAGCCGTTGGCCCTGCGCCTGATTTCTCTCCGGTCGTGTCGGCTTACCATCCTATCGGATTATGAGAGTGAAGGAATAGAGAGTACACCTGTGCTTACGCATACACTTGGGCACTATAATCTTGTCCTGCGCCGATGGCTAGTCTCTGTTGAGGCTAACCGCCGTGACCGAAATTCGATCTGGAGGATATTGTCTTGATCAAATTTATATGGGACACATGAGAAGCACATACCAGAAAAAAGGTTCTGAGGCAACACACATAAAATATTATAAAATTGAGAACTTCCTCCTTTTTCGAAATCGCTTGGGAAATTAAATTAAATTTAAAAAAAATTAAGAATATTACATGTGATTTTATTAACTCTGCATTTATTTATTTTTGTCAAGATTTACACATACAGAATGTTGACTAAAATATAATACCTAGGTTAAATTTTATTTATTCATTTTATTTTATTTAAAATATTTATATTGTGCGACTTCGTTACAAAATTATAAAATATCATTTAAAATACTCTGGTTTCCTAAATATTCAATATAGCGATTAAAAATATATTAAAGTTTATTCTTTCAATCTATTTCTTATTTCTTTAATGTAAAGCAATTTAAAGAAAGGTAACGATCTTGAAACCATACAGCGTTCTATAATAACTATTAATATGGAAATTATTATTTTTCTAAAGTCGTAATTTAAATTATTTTTAAAGTTAGAATTTTTTAATATTTTTAAAATAAAGGTATATCATTTATATTAATTTCTTTTATTTTTATTAAATTTTTCATACAGCTTTATTTTAAAGACAATAATAAGTCTGGCCTCTCAGATCGGAATATAGTGGTGGGCGTGCAGGTGCTTGCAGGAAATATATTTTTTAGCTCATGTTAGGGTTCCTCGTTTCTTAGATTTACCAACGATTTCTTTACTGCTCAGGCAACACTACTCAATTCCTGGCCAGAAGATATACTATAGTAGTAGAAGATATACGCTATTACAACAAATTCCCGGAAAATATACAAAGTATCTCTATTACCAAGTTTAAATATTTAATTAAACAAAAACTATATAAAAAGGGTTATTAAGATATAAATGAATACGTGGTTGATAATAACCCCTGGGATTAAGGTGGTCGCTTCCAAGCTGTTTCTAAAATAAAGTTTGTAAATGTTTTGTGACCATTGACATTGTAATTTTTTTAAAAGCCTTCTGGCTCTGAAAAAAAAACTGTTCTCAGGACAGAGTTTTTTTTCGAACCAGAGGTAAAGTAAAAAATTGACTTTCAGTAAGAATTACTTGTAATATTGAATAAAAAATATTCTATTCTAGTGTAAGAATAAAAAAATATTCTGTTCTTTTATTCTATTCTGGTGTAAGAAAATTATTAAAGTCTAGACTTACAATGGAGTTGAAAGATATATTGCAGAAATGTATCTGCGTTGATAATAATTTTACGCATTTTTTATAATTCGTACGAGTATATATATTTTACGTACCCATAGAAAAATAATATTTATAGCGAAGCTAGCCACAGTATGACGCCACAGTAGAACTTATAACCACGAATATCAAAATAAACCGACGGGGCTGACAATAACAGGTCCGATAATTTTTATGTAATATGTAAATGAAATATATGTGATGTACACATATAAAGTAGAGTACTAAACATTATAAATTAGTTCAGGATGAATCTTACTTCGAACTCTCGAAAATATTAAAAAAATTCTACTAATTTGATCTTAAGTTTCTTTCGCTAGCTGCATTGTGTGTAAACTCATTTCGGTACAGTTGTTTGTTTGCCGTGGCAAGTTTGTGGATAGATACTTGAAGTTTTGCGATATTTTTTGTGATAATCGACATGAAAAAATTAATTTTTATCCTGTTCTGCACATCGGTAAATCTCACAGATGCCTTGAGAAACCAAGTGGAAACCATCGACGCAAGAATGAATTTCCCCGAGCTAGCAAAATTGCACGGCCATCCATGTGAGGCACATGACGTTGTCACTCAAGATGGGTACATTTTGAAACTCTTTCACATTCCTGGTAAGAGGGGACTACCAATTCTTCTCATGCACGGCATTCTAGACTCTTCAGACACTTGGATTATTACAGGCAAGAAGTCTTTGGCTGTCGCCTTGGCTAACACCGGCCATGACATTTGGTTCGGCAATTCGAGGGGAAATCAGTACTCCCGACGTCACGTCTCATTAAATCCCGATCTGGATGACATTTTCTGGGACTTCAGTTTCCACGAGCATGGCCACTACGACCTTCCCGCAGTGATCGACACTATTTTGGTTAACACCGGTGCGGCCAAACTGAATGCGATTGGTCATTCCCAAGGAAATGGTATTTTCTACGTACTAGGAGCAACTAGACCCGAATATAATGACAAGGTTAATTTATTGATAGCCCTAGCACCAGTATCCTTCCTGCATCACATGGGACCTCCGTGGGGTCCGGTGATCAAGCTATTTCCTGAAATGGGTCCCTATTACAAATCGCTTGGCATGGTCGAGTTCCTAAATCAAAAGTCGCTGTTTTATAAATTGCTGAAGTTAGTGTGCCATCAACCGATTGGTTATGAGATATGTGTTCAAGGAGTAGTGTTTACGTTTTTCGGAAAAGATATTGAGGAGCTCCCGCCTGCTATATGGCCCACAATATTCCAATACATCCCACACGGCACCTCCATAAAGAATTTAATTCATTACGGACAAGTGATACGGACGAAGACGTTTTCGCACTTTGATTATGGTGTAAGGGAGAACCTGGCCTTGTACAACTCAAGTTCACCGCCAGAGTATGACCACAGTAGAGTGAGTATGCGCGTGGTGTTGCTAGTTGGTCGAAACGACATGGTCTGCACGCCGTTCGACGTCGCGATCCTCAGACGGAAGCTGCCGAATGTGATGAGTTATGCCGTAATAAATAAAACTGAATACAGTCATCTGGACTTCGTGTGGGCCGAACATAACGATATCTATCTATTTCCTTTAATATTTGAAATGCTCAAAAAATATGATTTACAATAAATGTTCGACAGGTCTAAAATAGTCGCGAATACGGAACTGTTATAGAATAAGGAAACTCAATAATTACCTGTTAATAAATTATTTATATTAAATGATGTTTTCTTTAAATTTGTAAACTTGTTTACAGCGAGCGCTTAGCTTGAACTACCAATGCTTATATATTTTACAGTGATAAATATTTTAATAATAAATTACTTATTCAAAAATAAAGTTATAAACGCTCGACTTCGTGAAATGCAAGAACTATACATATGGGATTAGAATGTTTAATCGCGCTTGTTAAATATCAGTCAAGCTCCTGAATAATGAATATGGACAAGGTACTTAATTAAATAAATAAATAAATTCGAAACAGACTTTATTAAACAGATTAATTAAAGCTGTTTCTAATCAAAACGAATCTCTAAGAGATGACCACATATTTGTGCTATTTCCTGTAGAGAACCTCGGTCCTTAGGGTCCACGTACGGCGAAGTTCCTAAAGTAACTGTATCTGTTATCGTTTTAAAAGAGATACAAACAAAATAAACATCACATATAAGTACATCTGTATGATTGAGCCTGCGATAGAATGAGGTAGAATACAGTGTAGACCGCGAACTCAAAAGGTTGTGGGTTCGAAGTCGCCATTCAACTACTGTCTTTTATTGTCTTTTTATAGTGTTTCCTATTAACTCGGTCGCCTCTTTGTGCGGTGCTTTGAAGATGGTTAATTTAAGTTTTAACTGTTAATATAAACAATATAAAAAATCTACTAAATTTATTAAATAAATAAAATTAAACATATTGAACAAAATTATCTTAATATAACAATCTATTAAAATTCTATGATTTAATAACTTCAGGCCATTTAGATCAATTATTGTTCGATAAAATGATTAACCTATGTAATGAAGTAGGTATATATGGCGCTATTACATACCAATTTTTCTCGAAAGAAAATATTATTTTGATTTATTACAATAAAATTTAGTCTAACAATATGGATTGTTACATTTATTTGTTAAAAAATTAAACTTTTATCTTACATTTTACGCCGCACTTATGATTGAAAATAATCATATTTAAATAAATCATTTGCCGTGAAATATTTTAATTTTATTACTTTCATTTGATGGTTCCACTTCGACCACGTGTGAACTGACATGTTTTTTTCATCATGGTAATGAATATTGTATAATTGAATGTTATGTAAATAAAGGCCGATTTTTTTTATCGTAAGGTAAAAGTTATCCATCAAATTAATTATAACTTAAAACAGAACATAAAGTCAAACAAATAAACTACTTTAACAAGCCAGAATAGCACTATAATGCCTCTTTTAACTGGAAACGATGTATTCTAAGTCTTCAGGGGTGACAACACATATGCATTTTGTTTTTATCCAGGGTAAATGTAGATGCCTTTGGAGCACAGCACCCACGTACCATCATGGACTATGTGCTCGTTTGTCAACCTTATTATATAAAACTAGCAAACCCGGCGAACTCCGTTTCGCCACCAGATGGCTTCGTTTTATGTAACATTTCGTTTGGTGATTTAAAGAAGAAAAAATTTTTTTTTTGTTTTATATTTGAAAAGGAAAAATTTTATTTCATTTCACAACAGTAATGAATTCTTTTCGATTACAAAAATGAAGTGTTATTTAGTTGAACTTCTCTAAGTAAATGAAAGTGAATCCAAAGTAAATACTGAATCGAAGCGTTATACGTGTCCGCAAATTATCCGTTTCATTGAAGTGCTCTTTGGTAAAACACATTTTTTGCTTTTTGATCTGACGTTAACACAAACAAAGCGGATGGTTTCCCAACTAGTAAACACGCAACGTATAACTGCCCATGTGAAAAACAATGATTTTCTAAATTTATCCCGCAAACACTAAGCGATTGGCCTTGCGACTTGTTAATTGTCATTGCGAAAGCCAGTCGAACTGGAAATTGCAATCGTTTGAAGTCAAACAGAAGATCAGTGGGAATCATTGGTATTCGAGGAACACATACATTTTCACCTGCGTACTTTCCGTTAATAATGGTTGCCTCAATCAAATTCGGCATAAGTCTTTTTATCGAAAGTCGAGTACCGTTGCAAAGTTGCGGTGGATTCAAATTACGCAATATCATAATAACTGTACCAACTTTGAGTTGCAAGTTATGTGGTGGAAATCCTGGTAACTCCCGAGAGTTCAAAAACTCCGTTGGATAATTTACTACATCATCGGGATTTGTGATGGATTTTGTTATGGATTTATATGGACGGATTTGTATGTCACCAAATCGCCAGCAATTTTTGATTGAATGGTGAAATTCAGTGCGTGTACATCATTATTCTTTGCGGCAAGAATTTCTCGTTGACTTAACCAAGCATAATTCTAATAATTCTCACTAATATTTGGGAAAACATTTTCAATAAGAGCTAATTGAGAGTCTACAAATCGGCAAAAGTCGTTGGTAAGGGTAGTTAATCCAGATGTCGCATCAACTGGAACTTTTCCATTTCCAACAGATAACAATTGTTTGGAAAATTTTGAAGTTGAACCATGATCATTTTGAAGTTGAACTCTCATATTAGTGGTTAGCGATAATGTTTTTACGTTATTCCATAAAGGTGATGCCTTCAGGCAAGCATTCAATTCATCTGCAGGCGTTCCACGGGGAATTACTGGCAACGTCTGCCTGAAATCGCCTGCCAACAATATCATCAAGCCGCCAAAGATGTTGTTATTTCGCCGAAGATCCTTCAGTGTGAAGTTAAGTGCTTCAAGTGATTTCTTATGTGCCATTGTGCACTCATCCCAAACAATGAGCTTGCATTGCATCAACAATTTTCCCATTGCACTGGATCGGGAAATATTGTATAGTATAGTATTAATGTTTCGTATACTAGTTTTTGCTGTTCATTCAGCAACGGCACATTATTTCGAACGAATTCCTGCAATGTATCAACATTGTATTGCAGCTCTCGATTTAATTCTTGGTTGAATGCATCGTGCATCGATCGATTTGGTGCAATCATTCCTACTTCAATCAGTAGCTTGTTTGCAATAGTAAAGCATTGATCCTCAATCAGAATCAATCCTTCATTGTAGATTTCATCGGTTATTTGGATGTCAGGATTATTCGTTTGAATGCGCAAGCGATGCAAAATATCTTCACATATGTCGTCTTTGTATTTGTTTCATAACTGAATTGGTTGTGAAGGAAAACATGTAGTGATGATAATTGCGAACAGCGTTCGTATTTGGTACGCATTTGATGAAACAACTGAATCCGCAAGTGTTAAATCCCGATGAGAATCGTTCTCCAGCAAACCCAATAATTGACATGCTTCTCGATATGTTTGGCATTGGTGGCCATTCACAGTTTTCAAATGCGCAAATGATTTTGGTCCACGTACATTTACCAACAGCAGTCGCAAATAAAAACATTCATCATTTCTAGGATGAATAGTATACATGCGACCTAGTGCATCAGTGGAAAACACCTGTGGCTAATCTGGAACTGGGGTTCCTTGTTTGCGACGTTGGAATTTCTTTGTTGATTGATTCCAAGTGTAATACTTGGGCATTTCAACGCACATCAGAGTCGCTGCGAATGGATCTGCTTCACACATTGCAAAGAAGCTAGTCAATGTTGTCAATGGTGGTCTCTCAGCTCGTTGTGCCGCATTAGCCTCAGTGAAGTAAACTCTTTGGCTATATTCCAAATGCACTACTAAATTTACAACTGTGGGATATCTGTCATGAATTTGAAATGACAATAATCGCCACAGTGCTTCATTAGTACTGACGTATCTGCCCATTTGGAAGTTGCTGATTTCGTCATTCGCATTTTCCGACGCAATACCAAACACAGCCATGTCGTTACCTTTTGTGACGTACTTGCACAAATATTTGATTGATTTAGCTGAATGACAACTCTCAACGTTTGCATGTGTTTCGAAAATTCGTGATAGCTGCGGGCAATGAATTCATTTCCGATCTCAATCTCTTGATTTTGAACATTAACTTTGATAGTTCGACCATTATCTTCTTTTGAACGCCGACGATAAACTGGATATCCATCGTTCCCTGTGACTGTTTTAGCAACTAACGGTCGCGGATATCGTTTTGTGCACTTTCCATCAGCCATGCCAGGCGATAATGGATTTAATGCATCGCACGGTCCATGCACCATCTTGTCGTCACAATGTCGTGTAGATGGGGATCAGTGACTGGATCAGGAATTTCAGCTGATATGATGTCATCCACTTCATTTGAATGTAATTTGTTCAGCAACCAAATTAGGATATAAGCATGCGGTAGTCCACGCTTCTGCCATTCCACCGAGTACATATAACAACGTGTGTCACCAAAAACTCGATACTTAGTAAGAACATCCATCATAACCTTGAGTTTTTGCTGAAATACTCTGGCGATTATATCATGGCGATCTTGCGGTTTTTGGCCCGGTTCCAACTCACGATCAATTTCCGTCCACTTCGGATTGCATGTGAACGTAATAAATAAATCCGGAGTTCCATAATTTTGCACGCACGTCATAGCGTCTTGAGCGTATTCATGCATGTGGTGTGGGCTTCCGATATAAGATGATGGTAGAATCGTCAGACGTCCAATATTCTGAACATCACCATCTGAATGAATAGCATCACGCAAGTGTATAAAGTCCTCAGATCGTAGCTTTGCCTGATTGAATCGGATGAACGCTAAACGTTCGGTCTCAACTTTGACATACATGTCGTCAGCGAAATGCTGGAATAGCCGACGGCACTTCAGAATGACATTCTCCTCATGTGTACGAATCATCATACGATACGCATAGTAATTCATTGCGCTTAGATTTTTATTCGTTGATACGCCTGAAAATGCAAAATTAAATGAATTGTTAATGGAAACCAATAATAGCAATAATAGCAATAATTAGTGTGTGAATATTGTACCTGTAATTGGATCGACCATCTTCAACGTGATGTTGTATCCGTCTTGCCCTTGCCAATAAATGATT